TTTTTTGTTGTATTTCTTTAAAAAATGCCTTTGGGGTTTTAATGGGGATTGCATTAAACCTGTATATTGCTTTGGGTAATGTGGCCATTTGAACTATGTTGATTCTTCCAATCCATGAACACGGAATGTCTTTCCATTTCTTTGTGTCTTCTTCAATTTCTTTTAAAAATGTCTTATAGTTTTCAGGATATAAGTCTTTCACATCCTTGATTAAGTTTATTCTTAGATATTTTATTCTTTCTGTTGCAGTTGCAAAAGGAATTGTTTTCTGTATTTCTTTTTCTGAGATTTCATTGTTAGTATATAGGAATGCACTAAAAATATTTTTTAAAGCCAAGAAAAGGCAAGAGAGGGGAAAAGAACAAAAAATGTAGGGGACAAACAGAAAATACAAAATAAAATGGTAAACCTAAATAACAATCTTATTGATAATTACATTATATATAAATGGTCTAAACATAACAATTGAAAGACAGAGATTATAGCAACAGCAACTCAACACCAAAAAACAAACAACCCAATTAAAACATGGGCAGAGGCTATGAAGAGACATTTTTCTAAAGAGGACATGCAGATGGTCAACAGGCATATGAAAAAATGCTCGACCTCACTAATCATTAGAGAGATGCAAATAAAAACCACAATGAGATACTACTTCACTCCGGTCAGAATGGCTATCATCAATAAATCAACAAACAACAAACGCTGGTGAGGCTGTGGAGAAAAGGGAACCCTGTTGCACTGTTGGTGGGATTGCAGACTGGTGCAGCCACTATGGAAATCAGTATGGCAGCATCTCAAAAATCTGAAAATGGAACTACCTTATGACCCANTGTGTGTGTGTGTGTGTGTGTGTGTGTGTGTGTGTGTGTGTGTGTGTGTGAAACAGACTGAATCCTGTCTATTCCACTCAGGTATTCATCCAGGAATGAGTGTTAGGCTCACATTGGAGCCCACCCTGCCGGGCACATCACAGTGAGCTGCTAAATTTGGGAGAGTGTGAGCTGGCCGAGTGGCTCAGTTGGTTAAGAGTTAGTTTAAGAGTGCAAGCTCTAAGTAATAGGGCCACCGGCTCAATTCCCATACGGGCCAGCGATGCTGCGTCCGAGCTGAGCTGCTGCTGAGCTGCCAACAGGTGGTAGGATGACTCAGCTGGTGAGAGCACGTGCTCCTAACAACAAGACTCCCTGTTAGATGGTGGGCTATGCCCGCCTGCCCGCAACTAAGACTGAATTGGCACCTTGAGCTGAGCTGCCAATCGGATGCCTCAGTGGATAGAGTATGCACTCTTAACAGCAAGGCTGCTGGTTCAACTCCTGCATGGGATGGTGGCTATGCCCACCCACAACTAAGATTGTACACAGCACCTTGAGCTTAGAGGCCACAAGCTGCCGATGGGCAGCCAGGTAGTGACTAATGCACTCCACAACTAAGATTGAAGAAATACAACTTGGCTGGCCTCCCTCCCCAATTTCCAAACACTGTTCCCCTCCCCTAATCCCCCAATTAAAAAAAAAGTGGATGCCATGGGTCAGGGAAGCCCCAGCTACTCACCGCTTTCAGGCCTAGACATCAGGACCGCCCTGGGAGAAACTCTGTATGGACAATCAGATGTGTGGGAGGTGAGCTTCCACCAGGCATGGACATCAAAGTGAAATCCTCATAGTGACAAACAGTGCTATGAAATATTGTCTACAGGGTCATTAATGGGGATTATTATGTTTGAAGAAATAGAATACTAGGAAAACATGAAACTTGTTTTAATTTAACCATGTATAAATATCTGAAAAATAAAGGAGAAAATGAAATTCTTGGAACAACAACAGGGGTTATATGATAGAAGAATATGAAATTTTAGAAATGAATTAGGCAACTATCTTATAGAGTTAATAATAAAAATTTAACACACTCAAAATATTTTTTCCACCTTGTTCATACAATTATGAAACTGGAATACAATGTTGAGGAAATTTTGTAGAATGCACTATGACATGGAGTTATAAAACTAAGACACATGGTAAATAGGGAGAAAAGGGCCAATGATGCCATGACATTCAGGAGGAAAGCAGTTAGCGTGACGTTGCTATAGTCCTAGAGGCCAATGTTTGGACATTGTACAGAGAAACAGAGAGAACATGCGTTGTCAGGGTCCATGATTATAAAAGAAATGTGTGTCTTCATGTTACATGGTAAAGGGAGGAAACTGATGGGAGCTGACTTTTGAACAGAAAACATACTAAAGATGGGGGAAAGTACATTCATGGGTTTAATTGTGAATGAAGAATTCAATACTCACCAAAATTATTAAGGGGCAAAGATGAAAGTATCGGCAGGGAAAAAATCCATAAGGACAAGGAGACTGGACCCATCTGACCTGTTTGGTGTCTCTTTTTCCATCTAAGTAGGAGGCAAAGATGGACATTTGGGGCCTCAATTTGCCCTGAGAATCAAGAGCATGAAGAAATAAAAGGCTTCCCTACCTTTCACTTCCTGCATCTCCACCAGCTCCTTTTGTGTCTGACTCAGGATTATATATTCCCATGTCACTTTCTATTCTTCTATTTATCAAATATTATTTTAAAAATACAGGACAGAATATCTACAATGTGCCACGCGATCTTTCCAGGAGCAGGGATTACCACAGTTAACATAAGCTCCACTTGCTCATTCAGTAGTCTAGATAGGGGTATTGATAAGAAACAAGCAAAAAGCAATGTGTTGTGGAAGAAGGAGGGAGCTGTGTTAAAGGGGGAACAGTCACCCCATGTACCCCCAGGTGTGGACTTGAGGAGTACGGTCCCCTGAGGATACAGTCCATTCCTTCTGCCTGTGAAGAGAATCCCACAATGGGGAGGGGACCCAGCACCAGAAGCGAGGTTTCACTCTGCTTTGACCAGCCTTGGAGCTGTGATTTATACATTGGTATCACCTTGTGGTGTGTGAGCTGGTCGGTTCAGTGGGGACATTGGTCTTGTTGCTGGAGTCCTATGGGGCACTCCTATCCCAATGCCTAGAGTCCCTGACTTTATACAGATGGTAGGTATCAGCCTGCAGAGACCCCTAACACCAGATGGGTGCAGGGCTCCTGGTGGTGACCATGGGGCCTGGGTCAGCCCTGATGGAGGGTTTGGAAAGGGTCCCTGGAAGGAATCAGACCTGAAATGTCAAGGGTGCCCTTCTCTGCTCAATTTCCTCAGCTGTCACTCGAAGGTCATTTTCAAACTGGTCACCACCAGCCCAGACCTGCCGTGTTTCCCCTAGCCGCCCAGGGGGTTTATTGGGCTGAACCGGGAGGACACACTGCCTGTACCCAGTCACACAGGCTCTAACACAGCCCTGAAAGTGTATGTGGATATAATACATATAACAACATAAATCAGTTTGTATAAAAGAGTTATATGTTTATACGGTTTCTACATTTGACTTGAAGAGGTAAAAATACTAACTCTTGACTGTGTAAAGTAAATTATGTATAATAATATCTAGAACAGCCACTTGAATAACATTCAAAGATGTATAGTTAACAACCAATACAGAAATTAAAGTGGTATACTAAAACTATGTTTTTTAAAATTAAAGTTTATTGGGGTGACAATTGTTAGTGAAGTTACATAGGTTTCAGGTGTACAATTCTGTAATACATCATCTATATATCAGCACCCAGAGTCAGTTCTGTTTCCATCACCATATACTGGATCCCCTTTACCTCATCTACCACCTTCCTTTCCCCTTACCCTCTGGTAACCACTAAACTATTTTTTATATATCTATGAGTTTTTGTTTCTTCATTTGTTTGTCTTGTTCTTTTGTTGTTTTCAGTTTTATATCCCACATACCAGTGAAATCATATGGTTCTTGACTTTTTCTGTCTGACTTATTTCACTCAGCATAATAATCTAAAGATCCATCCATGTTGTTGCAAATGACACTCTTTCATGTTTACTTATGGCAGAATAGTATTCTATTGTGTATATATACCACATCTTCTTTATCGAATCATCTATCGAAGGACACTTTGGTTGTTTCCATGTCTTGACCACCATAAACCAAGCTGCAATGAACATCGGAGCACATATATCTTTATGAATAAATGTTTTCAGCTTTCTGGGGTAGATACCCAGGAGAGGGATTGCTGGGTCATATGGTAATTCTATTCTTAATTTTTTCAGGAATCTCCACACTGCCTTTCATAGTGGCTGCACCAATCTGCATTCCCACCAACAGTGTATGAGGGTTCCTTTTTCTCCACAGCCTCTCCAACACTTGTTATTATTTGTCTTGTTGATGATAGCCATTCTAACGGGTGTGAGGTGATATCTCATTGTTGTTTTAATTTGCATTTTTCTGATGANCATATATACACATATATACATACATAGACACACATTTATACATATAAACACACACAAATATAGGCATATTTTTCCAAATGCTGGTGTTGAGTCAGTAACTAATTAAGAGAGCATTTCTGATTTTCTGAAGAAGGAAGGAGCATGAATGTAGTTAAGCAGACCAATAGCAGCCATGTAAACCCATACCAGATGCAATATACTAGTTAGATAGATGGATAAATGTTTTAAACTAAGGATTATATAATGTTTATACATATAATATATGTATACACCTATGCATATAATTATATGATATATAAGTAAAATTCTAGGTCTATGTAACCTAACTGTAGATAAGAGTGTGTGCATATATAGACAAAGGGAAGAATTCAATAGGCAAGAAGGAGGCAGGTCTTTTCTGAGCTGTGTCGTCAGTGAAGTTCATCTGTGGAGGTGACAGTTAAGCTGACTTCTGAAAAAGGAGGAGGAGCCTGGAGCAGCTCCTTGAAGATGTGTCACTCTTCCTGAGCCTCCTGCTCCCACTGCTTCCACTTTCTGTGTCCCTGGTCCAAGAATCTGTGGACCCATTGGCCCATCATCCCACCAGGGGTTCCCTGAGGATGTACCTCAGGCCCTAAGTGTTTTTGGGCAAGGATGGAATTTCCTTACCTAAGACCAAGATTTCCAGGGCATCACTGGAGTGTGACCACACCTCGGTGGTGTTCCTGTAACAGCCATAGCATCTGAACTTCCACTTGTGGCTTGGGGTCACGGGGCCCACAGGGAACAGGGCCTGGAAATCCCCACTGAAGTGTCGCTGTGAGGCCAGGGTCCATGGGAGACTGTATTGTCCTTCCTTAGTCAGAATGAACATGCCATATTTCTCCTGTGAGCCACACAGAAGGGTCATGTTCCCTCCTGAGGTCATAACAGGGCTCGGCAGGGCTAAGAGGTAGGGTTTGCTGTAGACGCCTAGGAAAGAAGGAGGCAGTATATTAAATGGGGCTCTCACCTCCCTCACAACCTCAAAGCCGGATGTGAGGGGGAGACACCCTGAGAGCAGAACCCCTTCCTGAGGGCACAGCCAGAGATTTGGACCCTGAGTGTCCTCTCACCTGTCACCACCAACTCCAAGGGGTCACTGCGCTCTGACCAGCCAGTGGGGCTGAGGTAGTAACAGCCATATCTCCCTGCATTGAGCTCTGTCATTTGCGTGATGAGGAACTTGGCCTTGTCCCCGGGCTCCAGTGGGTTCTGACTGTACCAGGGTGCTGTGCTTCCCTCTCTATCCACACGGAACTTCTGGGCCTTCAGAGTCCCCTGACACCAGATGGTCACAGGGCTTCCCCAGGGGATCACAGAGCCTGGCTCAGCCCAGATGGTGGGTTTGGGAAGGGTCCCTGGAAGGAATCAGAGGCTGAATTAGAGACATTCCCCACCTCCAGTTCCCAGCTCTCGATCTCAAACCTCCCAGACATGCCCCATCTGTCAGCCCAGATCTGTTGTTCTCCATCTCCAGCTCCCATGGGATTGTCCCTTGTCCCCAGTGAGGAGATGGGACCTGGGACACCAGGGACAGACTCACCTGCCTGCACTCGTGTCCTTTGCCCCACGCTCAGTCCTGTAAATGAGTGAGAGATTTGCCCCTGACTCCTCAGCAGAGCCTTCATCCCCAGGAGCCTCCTGAGTCCTGGGGTCTCCTGACTGACTGAGACCTGGCTGGTGGGTGGGGTCCCTCCCAGGCCAGGGCTTCCCTCTCTTCCCCAATCTCACCGAGGCAGAGCAGGGCCATGAGGGTGGGGGTCATTGTGTTCTCCTTCCTCTAGTCTCCGCTTTGCAGATGGAGAAGACTATGATGCATTGCAGGATGGACAGACACACAGGGTGTGGCTACTGGGAAGCTCATCCTGCCTGTCATGGCGTTATCATGTTAGGAGCCCCACAAGAAAAGGAACCCCACCTCAGGTGCCTTGTTCCCCAGATGGAGCAGCAAATAAACCTTCCTGAGATGACCGCTGGAGGTGAGAGAGACCAAAGGCACATCCTTCCCTCTCAGAGCCTCCCCCATGGGGTCTCCTTCATTCTCCGCCCTTCCATTAACACCTCCCTGTGGGGAACTCACCATGGATAGTGGTCACTAAGGACCTTGGAGAAGCTTCAGGAAGATGCGGTTTCTGCTGCAGAGCTCAGATCAGCAGAGATACCTGACTCCACAGTCAGATAGCTGTGTCACTGTGACAATGAGCACAAAAGAGAAATGCAGGGAAATAAGGGAAGGAAATACAACCCTTCTCTTGGCTAGAGTGTGGCTTTCTTTCTATCACAGTCCCCTTCACGAACTTCTCTTTTTTCTTGCAATAGCATCTACCTCCACCTTCCTGTAAACAAGCCTCTGAGTCATTCCTGATCCTCAGTTCCCCTTGTTATTCTGGAAGAGCTGTCCCCTCATCCTGTGGTCCTTCCTTCAGCTTTAGGAAACAATGAGTGGTTAGTGTACTAATTTTGGGAACAAAGGTGGTTCTTATTTAAATATTCCTCCATCATCCACTACCCTTGTGACTTGTGCAGTAATGTCCAATCTCTGAGCCTCAGTTTCCCCATCTGAAGCATGTTGTAATGAATCTCACTCCTTAGAGTGGTTGTGAGATTAGTTTTACCCAGGAGGTGGAAGGATCAATCTTTTGTTTATTTCCAGACCTGATTAAGACATGTGGGATGATACACAAGAGAATCAAGTTATCTGACTCCACAGTCAAGATGGATGATAGCTGTGCTCTCTCAAGAGTCCCCATCTGCTCCTAATGCTGAGAAATGCTATTTATGATATTTCTGAAATATGTAGTACAGTCAGAGCAGAAAAAGAGAAATGAAAGCTTCAAAACTCTAAAGGCACCCACAACAAACAAAAGAGGCCAAAACTGAGCGCCCTCCAATGCATGGGTCCAGCACGGGGTCATCACAGTGGAGGTTCCACCTCCACGTGGACAGAGAGGAACCCTAGGGTCCTCCTGAGTGGGGGAGAGGAGCAGGGCTTAAGGTGAAAATTGGAAGCAGTGTTGCCCCCTCCCCATGTTTTGGGGATGGGCACGAGGATATCTCTGCACACTGACCCAGCCCAGCTCAGTACTGAGCTGTGTCATGTGTGTGTGTGTGTGTGTGTGTGTGTGTGTGTGTGTGTGTGTGTGTGTGAAA